AGTCCCACATTTGCATACCAAATCTCTCATATGTTTAAGACTGCAATCTCAATCTACATAGCAGTCAGGTACTTCCGGTTCTGGTCTGCTGTAATGCAAGAGCAAACTCTTGCTCATTTTATATCTTTATTATTATCAGTGCTCTTACTATATCTGCTCAATCCATCATAAAGGAAATTGCAGTGTCTGTTTTCTTTGATTTTTCTCCCCGTCTACGTACAAACTGAGCTAGACTAAGATCTGAGATCCTGTCTATTTGTTTCTAAATCCTAGACATCTCATTAGTGATCGATGACCTAATCCTTTTAATATGCCTTCCAAGAAGGCTTCCTCATTACACTCTCCCTCAGGAACAAGAGGGAACAGAGGTGTGGAGGAGAGAGGAGGCGTCTACTAAAGTCTCTGAAAATCTGCTTGGGGTTTCACAAGTGAGTCTCAGCCATGCTGAAATGGCAGAGTGAACGCAATGCGAACTTGTGCTGCAGTCACTATTCACTCTCCCAGATGTAAGGATTGCATGCCTTTCATCTGCTCCCCCGGACACTGGTGCTGCCTTACTGTTCCCCCTAGACACAGGTGAGCAGCTGGGCATGCCCCTCCCCGGGCTTCCAGGAGAACCACGAGGGAGGGCCACTGCTCATATTGCCTTATTTCCGTTCCACCTGTCATTCTCCTCCCGGATTATCTGCCTCTGAACAAGGCCTTATGTCAATCTCTACCTGCTGTCGCCATTCCGTATTTCCTGGATCTCCCTGACTTTTAATATCCCACAGAAAATAACAATCCAGACAAACCTTACCCCATATTTTAATAATTAACATTTTAGCATAGCGAGTATACTAATAACTACATCCTTAAGGTTGACCAGGGAAGGGGTTAAGAGGTCCATGTCAAAGGTCAGGGTAACATGAACCAAACTTAGACCTGCTTCTGCGTTAGAACATCAGGATAAAAAGTTTAATCTCTCCAAGCCTGTTTCCTTCTCCACTATTTAAGGACGAAAAGCGTCTCCATGTCCACTTGTTGGAATTAAAGGGCTTAACACGGATGAACCTCTTAGGGTGGAGTCTGGCCGAGCGCAGACCACTCGATAATCACCAGGGGCTCCCGGCATTACTGGCGTCTTTGTCAGAAAGCATCAGCATGTTTCTAGAAGTTAAAATGGCAAGGACAAGAGTTCCTTTAGTGTCTCTCTAATTTAGACACACAGACAAAAGAAACTCTGGGAAACCGTTGGAAGCTGATGTGCCCCCATGGGTGGCATGACCAAAGGCCAGTGGAGCGGCAATCCCCTAACTTCAGGGTATAATAAGTCCAGGAGCGTCACTCGGAAACTTTATCTTCCCAACAAAAGTAAGCAGGGGCTCCTGTGAAAAGAGTTGGGATCTGGTCACTAGGCAGTGTTTTGAACAGCAAATACAGATGACAGTCATATTTACGGTCAATTTACCAGAATCAGGTATCAGATGACCTCTGACACCAGCCACCGCTTACTAAAGAGCTAATTAGCTGTAAAAATGAGGTGACAAGTCAATTGTATCCGCACAAAGGACGAATTTGTCATGTGGGAATCTGCTGGTAGTTACAGCTTCTGGGTGGCTTCTTGGCCTACAAAGGAAGCTAAGTTAGAGGAAGAAGGAGGGGGAGGCCCCAAGCACTAAGGAGACCCAGGAGCCGTTTACTTCCCAGGGGCAGGTGACTCTGCACACAGCCACTCCTGGCCCAGAAACCACACACACACACACACACACACACACACACACACACACACCTCCCCATACACACACCCCACCCCCACAGACACACACACCCTGTCCCCACCCCTCACGCCCACCTCTGGGCTTTAGCATCAGCTGTTGAGAAGCAGGAGAGGCAATAGAAAGCCCAGCTTTGCCAGGGTACCAATGAAAACGGTAGGTAGCCTGTGTTTCCCCAGCAGAAGTACTTTTTGTTTGCTACAATGCATTGTTAGGTCTTAAACAGTGTGCGCACTGAAACTGCAGAATACCTAAGGAAAAGAGGGAGAAATCTCGATATTTTCTACTCCTAATAGTTGATAAGACAATGTGGTGTAGTTCTTTTTTCTGTTTGTGAGAAAAGCTGAAGTCAGGTGGGATGTACAATTCATTGCCTTTATTGATGTCACATGTTACCCCTAAAAGCATGTCTTCGTGTTGTTAACCAATTCCCAACATTTATAGAATTGTCCTTTCCAAGTTCTCTGACTCTCAGAGATCACTTCTTTTGATTTGATGACAAAAGATCATTGTCTTGATACATTGTGAAAGATGTTAAAATTTCCTCACCTGTGCTAGCTAGGAATGCCCAAGGTTACCTGCCATTCCAAAAACTGTCCAGTTTGCCGTTTGTTACCATATCCATGCCTGCACTATGAACGAGCTGCTAAGCATGGGTCTCTATTGTGACAGAGACCCATTCAAAGACAATGGGGTCCTACTTTCCATAGAAACTACATCACCTTCACCAACCAGGGAAAAAGGTAAGGAATCCTGGCTAGGTAGAGAAGTCAAGTTTCCTACTCCACTGTAGCAATGGAGAAAAAAGTTCTCCTCTTAGGTCCCTGAAGTCAGCTAAAATCAGGCTACAACACCGCACCAAATTGTAATGAACTCTTAAGGTTAGCATGGTATGGAAAGAATGCCTTACTACCTACCAGGTGAGATTCCTGTGTTCCTTGGAGTCTTCATATACAAGGAGCATACCTTACAAGACATCTGAGTCTCAGAAGTCCCATCTCACCTGGCTTCAGAGGAAAGGTAATGCCATATTTTCCTGCCCACACTCTAAGACATTCCAGTCTCTTCCTCAGAATGATTTAGGTAGAAACTGAAGGGGAAAAAAATGCCACTCTCAATCAGAAGATGGGGCAGGTCTGTAGTGGTTCAAACAAGGTCATGAAAAATTGGTCGTGTATTTCCTGAAGTTATGATTAAGTGTATTAAGTAACAGCGTATGAAAACCAAGCTAAATAGTTCACTTTTTTCCAGCAGGAAGCCATCCATCCAGAACCAGCTTTCAATCTAGTCACACCTTCTCCTGGAACCAAATGTTTAAAAAATTTAAAGCATTGTCCATCTGAAATTTCTATTAACATAGAAAGTATTTCTGTTTGTTTACATACTCGCTAGCTGTTATAGAACCACACACACACACACACACACACACACACACACAACCACCACCACCACCACCTCCACCTCCACCTCCACCTCCACCTCCTCCT